TTGGCCTGGCTGCACCAGGATCCTCGGCCTTAAAGCTGCTTAAGGGACGGTGTTGTTTGCAGTGCCTTACACGCATGTGCTGTGACCGAGGACAGTGACAGCACCATAGCCGTGCTCTTTCTGTACCGGGCCAGCGTCGACATCTTTGCCTGCTGGATGGAGCGGCTTTCAGAAGAGCACCGCGCGCGAGTAGTTGTCGGCACGCCTGATTCCGTGCAGGGAGACACGTACGACAAGGTGGTGGCTCTGTGCCTGCAGCGCCGCTTTCCTCACGAGACTTCGCCTGGAGGGCATTCCAAACATAAAGGGCGTCGGCTTATGTGCTTGACTCGGGCCTCAAAGCACTTGGTCGTCTTTCTGGAACGCCTGACTTTGTCGCCTGAACGTCGGACAAGGAAGTTCCAGTCGCTGATCACAGACGTGCTTCGCGTGGATGAGGACTGTGCCACTTTGGCTTGCCACTTTTATGGGCGCCGTTATTGTTCAAAATGCTAAAATGCCTTGTTCAGGAGATGCTGGGCAAGGTCTTAGCCAGGCTGGGACTTGAGGACCCGGCGAACCTATGGCCCCTGGGCGGGTGGCCATGCGATCGGCGTGACCCGCAATGCGGGCATGAGGCAGCTTCGGACTTCATGAGCCGGCCTGATCTGTGGCTGCGGCGGTGGCAAAGCATGGACTGGCACTATGCGCCAAGAGCTGTGCCAGGACAAGGGTTCTTTAGTTGTTGTTCTGCCCCAAGCATCCTTCCGATCCGCAGGACTGTGGGAGCCCGAAGGCGGGGGTGCAGCTGGCTTTGCTCGACCCCTGCTAGTGCCTCTTCTGCCACTGGTGTGCTACGGGCACCACGCTGTGTTCGTGCCAGTCAGCTTCGTGCTGCCAGGGGAGGCGGTTTCCTACGAGGAACATGGCCTGGCGGACATCATGCATGACCTCTGCTCCAAAACAGCGCAGAGCTGTGGCGACGTCGAGCACGTCACCCGGCACCACAAACTGCGGGCTGAGGATGTCGGCGGAGCCACGTATTACGCCCAGGCCTGCGCCAGCGTGCGCACGGCGCACATCCTCTTGGCCAACGGGCAGTTGGCGCTGAAGGTCTACCACGGATGTGGGACCGACCTTCAGAGGGGCGATGTGGCAAGCCTTGTGGTCTGCAGCAACAGGCTGGACATCCTGGCGCAATTTTTGCGCTGGCTGCTGGCCCTGTCTGACCAAGTAATTCATTTCGTGGCCCAGAGCAATACGTTCAGGGCGCACGAAAACTTGGGCGCGCTCATGCACCCCGCGCTTCAGTGGCAGCAGCTGGAGCCTGGCGTGCATGTAGCGCACGTGGTGCGATAGATCGCTCCCATGTACTGAAGTCCGCTGCAGATCTGATAAAACAAATGCCTTGCTCAGTTGCATTAGTCGGTTTCCGTGTTTGTTTCTCGTAGTTCAATCCATAACCGTAATGCGGTCTGGGCGATTGTTTTCATCACCCATCCCACCCGTGTGTCCAGTAAGTGGGGAGCGAATCGTCCCATTTTGTAAGCACACCCACTACTGGACACTAAAAAGACTGGGTTGGTTATGGATTGAACTACCTTTAGTTAAGGATTAGGGTAGTGGTTCCTATATAAGATATGCCTAACCCCGCCTCTGTAATTCGGTCTAGGTCGTTTTGTTAATAGCGACCTATCCTGACCGGGCAGTGGATGTGGTGGGAGCGAACGGGGCTCACATAAGCAAACCTCCCATCCACTGCCGAAAAGTGAGGGTTGGAAGCGGGGTCTAGGCCAGGTTTTTGCCAGATGCTGCGGATAGAACAAGTCCGGTGCAGGTCTGATAAAACAAATGCCTTGAAGGTCTGTGCGCTTAAGCGGAGGTGAGCAGACCTCGCAGATAGTAAGAACCCACGCTCAAGTGCATCCGCCATGCAGTGCACACATGCTCGCAGATGGTAAAAGCCCACGCTCAATTGCATCCGCCATGCATCCATTTGATTTGGAGATTAGTGGGTTCTGGCGTTTGTTTCTCGTAGTTCAATCCATAACCGTAATGCGGTCTGGGCGATTGTTTTCATCACCCATCCCACCCGTGTGTCCAGTAAGTGGGGAGCGAATCGTCCCATTTTGTAAGCACACCCACTACTGGACACTAAAAAGACTGGGTTGGTTATGGATTGAACTACCTTTAGTTAAGGCGTAGGGTAGTGGTTCCTATATAAGATATGCTTCACCCCGCCTCCGTAATTCGGTCTAGGTCGTTTTGTTAATAGCGACCTATCCTGACCGGGCAGTGGATGTGGTGGGAGCGAACGGGGCTCACATAAGCAAACCACCCATCCACTACCGAAAAGTGAGGGTTGGAAGCGGGGTCTAGGCCCGTGAGTGCTTTTCTTTTTAGGCACGTAACATAACAACAAACAAAATGAAAGATACTGCGGATAGAACAAGTCCGGTGCAGATCTGATAAAACAAATGCCTTGAAGGTCTGTGCGCTTGAGCGGAGGTGAGCAGACCTCGCAGATGGTAAGAACCCACGCTCAAGTGCATCCGCCATGCAGTGCACACATGCTCGCAGATGGTAAAAGCCCACGCTCAATTGCATCCGCCATGCATCCGTTTCATTTGGAGATTAGTGGGTTCTGGTGTTTGTTTCTCGTAGTTCAATCCATAACCGTAATGCGGTCTGGGCGATTGTTTTCATCACCCATCCCACCCGTGTGTCCAGTAAGTGGGGAGCGAATCGTCCCATTTTGTAAGCACACCCACTACTGGACACTAAAAAGACTGGGTTGGTTATGGATTGAACTACCTCTAGTTAAGGATTAGGGTAGTGGTTCCTATATAAGATATGCCTAACCCCGCCTCTGTAATTCGGTCTAGGTCGTTTTGTTAATAGCGACCTATCCTGACCGGGCAGTGGATGTGGTGGGAGCGAACGGGGCTCACATAAGCAAACCACCCATCCACTGCCGAAAAGTGAGGGTTGGAAGCGGGGTCTAGGCCAGGTTTTTTCCCGTCAAACGTTGCATTAGCCCGTGAGTGCTTTTCTTTTTAGGCACGTAACATAACAACAAATAAAATGCCAGATGCTGCGGATAGAACAAGTCCGGTGCAGATCTGATAAAACAAATGCCTTGAAGGTCTGTGCGCTTGAGCGGAGGTGAGCAGACCTCGCAGATAGTAAGAACCCACGCTCAAGTGCATCCGCCATGCAGTGCACACATGCTCGCAGATGGTAAAAGCCCACGCTCAATTGCATCCGCCATGCATCCGTTTCATTTGGAGATTAGTGGGTTCTGGTGTTTGTTTCTCGTAGTTCAATCCATAACCGTAATGCGGTCTGGGCGATTGTTTTCATCACCCATCCCACCCGTGTGTCCAGTAAGTGGGGAGCGAATCGTCCCATTTTGTAAGCACACCCACTACTGGACACTAAAAAGACTGGGTTGGTTATGGATTGAACTACCTCTAGTTAAGGATTAGGGTAGTGGTTCCTATATAAGATATGCCTAACCCCGCCTCTGTAATTCGGTCTAGGTCGTTTTGTGAATAGCGACCTATCCTGACCGGGCAGTGGATGTGGTGGGAGCGAACGGGGCTCACATAAGCAAACCACCCATCCACTGCCGAAAAGTGAGGGTTGGAAGCGGGGTCTAGGCCAGGTTTTTTCCCATCAAACGTTGCATTAGCCCGTGAGTGCTTTTCTTTTTAGGCACGTAACATAACAACAAATAAAATGCCAGATGCTGCGGATAGAACAAGTCCGGTGCAGATCTGATAAAACAAATGCCTTGAAGGTCTGTGCGCTTGAGCGGAGGTGAGCAGACCTCGCAGATAGTAAGAACCCACGCTCAAGTGCATCCGCCACGCAGTGCACACATGCTCGCAGATGGTAAAAGCCCACGCTCAATTGCATCCGCCATGCATCCATTTGATTTGGAGATTTGTGGGTTCTGGCGTTTGTTTCTCGTAGTTCAATCCATAACCGTAATGTGGTCTGGGCGATTGTTTTCATCACCCATCCCACCCGTGTGTCCAGTAAGTGGGGAGCGAATCGTCCCATTTTGTAAGCACACGGTCGCAGCGTTTACCCCTGCGCAACGTGGCAGCGTCGAGGCGTCGCCCCCCGCCACAGCGTCGCAGCGTCGCAGCGCCGCCGCCCTCGCCGCAGCGTCGCAGCGTCGCAGCGTCGCAGCGTCGCCCGCCTCACTGCGGCGTCGCGGCGTCGGCCCTCCTGCCGCAGCGTCGCAGCGTCGGAGCGTTGCAGCGTCGCCCCGCCTGCCGCAGCGTCGGAGCGTCGCAGCGTCGCAGCGTCGCCCCTCCTTCCGCAGCGTCGGAGCGTCGCAGCGTCGCAGCGTCGCCCCCCGCCCGAAGCGTCGGAGCGTCGCAGCGTCGGCTGCCGTACCGGCCCCCTTTCCCCCTGCACTGAAAAAGGCTTTTTTCCTTTGTCCCGGAGCCAAAGTGGATGTGTATGGAAAGAATTTTGGCAGGCATCTTTTGGTAGTCGTATTTAGCTTGCCGGTGCAAAAGGTAGGGAATGAGACATGGAATGAACCACTTCCGGGGATTCCCGAAGAAAGGAAACCCGTTGGATGGTTTATAAGGCCTGCTGAGCACCAACAAGGTGAATAGATGTCCTGGGTAATACGGCGGCTTGTGTTGCAATTTAGTGCAGCGTTTGAGTGGGCACGCAAAGACCCCGGTGATGAAAGGAGACGTGCTTGCTTTAGCGGCGCAAGAGCGCCGTGCCAATGCCAGGCATCAACATTGTCACCAGATTGGGGCTTGTCTTCGCGCTGGTCGTAGTCTACACTCTCTTCAGTTTCTATTTTGGCCTCTTCACAGTAGGACAGGCATGTGAGTTTTATGCCTTGCTGGGACAAGCAAAAAACATTTGCAGTCATTTCAATGTAGGACCGGAGAACCTACAGGGCCCTGGCAGCGAAATGATCACCGGCCTGAGTTGGGAAGCTTGGCATCCTGCCGGTGAGTGGGCCCCAGGGCACCTGAGTGGTGATGCGTGCCCGATTCGAGCCCAACGACACCCATATGAAGAAAAGATGGGTGGTTCCACCTGATTTTTTTTGGGTTGAATAGTGAGATCCTCCAAGGTACCCACCCAGAATGGTTGTTTCCTGGGAACCAATCTCAAGGTACTCATCTGAATGATGTTTTTCTGGGGGATTCAATCTCAAGTAGCTTTTCAGAAGCCTTGGACAAATGCGCAGTTTGCCCAGCCACGATTCTGGCGACTCGCCGAGGAGACCTTTCAGGCCAACTGGGGGCCACACTACGACGAGGGCGTCCACTTCGGTGTGGTGCTGAGCCTCTTCTACCCGTGCTTCACAGGCCCCGGGGTTTGGGTGTTGGATCTGGAAACGGTCCGGCTAGGTGGCTTGGAAACCCCGTGTACGTATTTCCTTGGTTGCCATAGGCTTGGTCCACAAGGATGGTTTTGAGACCCATTTGGCAGGCATCTTAAGCGGCGCGAACCGGGCTGATGTGCTCAAGGACAGGCTCGTGCCGTCGCAAGAAAGTGGGCCATCGTCTTTGAAAGACTGGAGCTGTTCAAGGGTGTCCCCTTGAGGACCCTCCGAAAAACATTCGTGTGGGTACCTTTGCTGCCATTGTGCTCCTTTGCTGCAAGTGGCCTTTCGCGTGGCTGGACGTCACTGGTGCGGCGACCTTGTTCCGGTTCTCGATTTCAGAGCCATCCAGTGGTTTTCAGATGTCTGAGGTTCAAGCTCTTCTTTTTGATTTTTGGGCTTGGAGATCCATTTGCTGAGGTTCAGCCTCTTCCTCTATTCCTCCTTTTTCATGCTTTGGGGCAGTGTGGCCACGGACGACTACCTCAAGGGCAACTTCCTGGAACACGGCCGGAGGCGAATCAGCAAGCGATTTTCTGCCTTTGTAACTGGATTCCTTCCGCCCCCCCAATGCTGATTTTCCTTTTAGCTTTCCTTTAACATCGCAAACATGGGCACCAACTCCAAACAAGGACATACTCATACCACCTCGCAGGGTTGCCCGAAAGTCTTGCAGGTGCAATGGATGAAACCACGGACGCCTGGCTGTGGTTTCGTTTTGGTTTGCCTCCAAAAACGAGGGCCATGCTTTCTACTTCTCGTGCGCAAAGCTGCTGGCTCGGCTTTCTGCAGCTAGCCCTCAAATCCACCCCGAATTCAGCCTCAAGCCTCTAAAGCAACCCCTAGCCTAACCCACCGAAAAAAACCCAAGCATCACCCCAAGAATCAACCCAAGCCTCTTCAACCTAACCCACCGAAAAGCCCAAGCATCACCCCAAGAATCGACCCCAAGCCCAAAACCGACGTCCCAAGCTGAAGACCCAGCGCCAGCGATCCCGAGCTGCGGGGCCCAGGCTCAGCGGGGTCTCTCCAGAGGCTGGGCGCCACATCGTGCAGACCGCGCGGGCGCCCGGGGAAGCGGCGCCGCGGAGCCGCGGACCGGCCCGGGCTTCGAGTTTTGGTTTGGGCGGGTTTTTTTGCGTTTTTTTTTAGGGTTCAGCAGCCATGGAAAAGCAAGGCCCAATTCAGATGAGGAACCTCCCTGGGTGAAGAGTGGTGGCCGTATTGTCCCCTATGGTTTGTTTGAACGGTGGTTTGCACCGCAGGGGTTCAGACTGAGCATCTCAAAGTTTTCGAAGTCAGGAAAAGGGCTTGCGCTCGAGAACCGCGTGGCAATCTGAGGTGGTGTGGAATCCGTTTCCCAACTCCGCCTTCATTGGCATCTCAGCTAAGTCGGTTACTTGTGAGAGGCTCGCTCCCCACGAAGCGCGCGCAGCCAGGCATCATTATAGCCTCGCTGAGTCAGTCGCTGCAGTGCCTCATCGTGGCGCCTCGGCTTCTGCAGAACATGGCCAAGGACTGGAGAACTGGGTTCAAGTTTCCTTGGAGACTCGAGACTCCTTTTTTGGGGTACGGTCTTTTTTTTTTTGGGCAGGGAAGCCAAAAGACTACCCAGTGTTGGGGTGGTTTTGATACCCGTTTTGGGGGCGGTTTCAAATGCAAAAAAAAGAGGAAAGAACCACCAGTTCTTGGTTGGTCACCTATTTTGAAACCAACCCAAGTGAGAGCCTGCGAGGTGCCATGAAGTGCAATGACCTTCGCTAGGACCGGCTCATGCCGGCGCTGCGGCCGCTGGAGGTACTGTCCTCCAGCGGTGAGCCCACGCGAGCCCTGCTCTTCACCTACGTGTGCGCCGCAGCTTGGAAGACGTGATTAAGGGGCAAGGGGGGCTCGATGGCAAAAGGGGGGGCAAGTGGGAAAGGCCGTTGGCACATTTCCGCACGCGCCCAGGTGCAAGCCCAATGCCAATGGGAGTTTGGGCCATTTTGAAGGTCGCACCATTTTGGGACGAACCCAAGACGATAAGGCCCGGTCCCAACCAAAAGAAAACACAAACTCATTTTTTCTCCATTGTCGCGGAAGTCGGATTGACTGAACTCTGCCCAGGGGCATCCCTGGAATTCTTCCATGGCCTTCCGAGGCGATGCTCGTGCTCATCGGGCAGCTGGAATTGGTGGCACCGCTGCTGACCATGTGGGACGCTTATCCCGCCAGGGATAGCAGCAACCAGCACGACTGGTTGCGCGATTGGTTTGTTGGTTGATGAGTGGATTGGTTTATTGGTTGATTGGTGGATTTTGGTTTATTGCTTGATTGAAGCAGAACAGTCTCATTCGGATCCTTTGGGATACTTTGGTGAGGCACGCTGCGGATGACCCAGGTTGATGACTTGATGTTTGCAGGGGGAACCCCATCAGTTTGGAGACGGGCTTGCGCATCCGGACAAGTTGCTTTGGAGCTTTGCTGAGACTCGGTGGTGCTTTGGCCGCGGCCATGCCTCGACTCCCGCACTCTGGCTCGAAGGACAAGAGAGGGTGTTCATTCCATCCGAGCCACGAGGCTGAAAGCACAGCCACTCCAGCCACACACATCAGATCTGTGCGCACAGCGCAGACGCTGGAGGTTTCTTTAGATCCTAGTTTATGAATGGATTGGCCACGCGCGGACGGCGCCCGAGCCGAGAAGGGGGCGTCAGGCAGTTTGGCCATGCCAGCAAAGCAAGAGTTCGCCACCTTGCAAATCCGTGTGAGACGTCGCTGGTGTTTCAGAAGAGCCTCGCAGGGAATGTATCGAGGGCCGCTTCATGAACCATGCTGCGACCGGACGAGCAGCCGTCGGCCGGACAACGAAAGGCGCGCAATGTGCTTGTAGCGTCCCGAACTATTTCCCCTTTAATCATCACCTGTCTTTTTCCGCCGTTTCAAGGGCAAATAGAGCCGGCCCTTGCATGTCTAACTTCAAGCCAACGTGTCTCCAGCCTCGCGAGCTCTAGGGTATCGCGGTGATGGCAACAGGTTTTGCCATGATGTTGTCTGGTCGGCTGCTCGGTCGTTCGGGCCGCTGGCTCAACAATCTCAACAACTCCCCAGCACATTGCACCAGAGAGGTAGGCCAATTGGTTCGGCTGTTTGTTAAGGGCCAGTCGGGCAATCAGCTCCAAAAAAGTTGACTTGCGCCAGGCCAAGGTAGTGCCAAAGACCTGCTGGGTGGGTACCGGCCTGCTGCAGAAACAGCCGGCGCAAAGCCGCGGGAGCCGCGGGATCCCCGAGACCCGCGGCATCGAGATCGGGTGGCCAACGCCAACGGGGCCAACGGGGCCAACGCCAAGGGCGCCATCGCGCCCGCGGCTGCGCCCCATGCGGCCCATGCGGCCCATGCGGCCCATGCCCCCGCGCAACGGCCGGAGCCACCTTGGATGGGCCGCGGCACACGGCGTGCGGGGCTCAGAGAAGAGCACCTAGTACGTGAGTGGCTGGGATCTCGCTAGGCCCAAATGGCGAGGTCGCAGCAGTTGTGCCGCCCTGGGCACAAGAAGCTCAGAGATGCATGTTGATTGCTATTTGACACGTGACTCAGAGCTTCGATTCGTTCCACGCACCTGGCCAGCCAAGGACACCTTTACCATGCCATTCCCCAAGCGCGAGGCTCAGAAGCGCAACCCGGAGCCTTGGCGGGATGGGCGAGTGCATGTGGCGAGCCCGGGCCAGCGTAGCGTGGGCGTTTCTCGGCTAAGGACAACGGTCGTCGGAAGAGCGGCCGTGCCCTGAGCCAGCAAGCCGCCAGCTTTGCTTAGAGCACTGAAGCCCAGGCGACGGTCTCTTCGGGGCACCAAACCATGATGCTCGGTCGCGCTTGGCGGGAATTGCTGAAAGAGGCGAGAGGTTTCGACAGTTTTGGGTTCACGGCCTAGCCAATGAATAAAGTATGCATATCATGCCAGCAGCTCGCGACCAAGGATGCACAGCTGCCGCTTGGCATTCGGATGGCTACACCTCTTGAGGTATCTTTGGGGCTGGTCTTTTTGATCTCATTTTCAACTGCAAAGGGTTTCCTACTTCGAGACACGCCCACGGCGCGTTTTATTTGAACATTGGACTCCTGCCGCAGGTCCCCTAAAACATGCATTTGAGCCAAGTCACACTGACCGTCAGAACTCTCCAAATGGCATGACAACACCATGGCGCCCTCTTCAGGAGCCCTTTCAGTGGTTGAAAGAATTCCCTCGATGATCTTTAAGTCAAAGCCTTTGTTGCACATCCTTATGAAAATGTGTGACACCACCATCCATGTTCCAGGGTGTTCAAACCAACTACTTGGGGATTTCTGACACCACCATCCATGTTCGAGGACAATGTTAACTGTACAGAGCACACATTTGGGAGCTTGCCCCAAAACAAATGAACCACGGCCAAAGTTACTTGTTCCTCCAAGCCATGCAGTTTGTGGATATCTTATATCCTGTGCCTGACGACAGAGGCCTGCGCAGCTCCCGAGAGCGAGGCAGGAAGTGACTTGCGACTCCCCTTTCGTTTTTGTTTGGCCAAATTGACCACACCACTGGACCCCCAGTTTCTCCCGGTCTCTTTTGTTTGTACCCCCCCCTCCCTCCCCCGGGTTTTTGTTTGGCCAAGTTGGCTGCAACTGGACCCGGTGTCTCCGTTTGGAAGCCTGAAGACGCGGTCAAAACCTTGTTTTTGGGTCCCTTTGGCTTGTGAAGCGACAGGGAAGGCTGTGCAGTGGCCTTCGTGAGCAAAGCTGCGGAGCCGAACTCCCAGTACCGGGCGTACATGGAGGACAGCGGATTTCCATTTGTTGGGGTTACATTCCACTTGTTTTACACTGGGAAAAGACTCCTCTTGGATGGTGCTCAAGGTACACCAAGAAGCCAAAGGACTTAGAGAAGCATTTTGAAACAAACCTATATGGCTTTCAATTGTACGGGGGAGCCTCCCAAACGCTTGGTGGACATGAAATGTGAATGATGCCCACCTAAATGTCCCGAACTAAGAATTCCACCCATGCATCGTTGGTGCCGGTGCTGTGTACGCAGTACGCGTGTAGCTTTTGTAGCCAGGCTTGCACGTGTGTTCGGCGAGGACAGGTACTGCATCGTCGATCCCTTCATGAAAGGAGAGTTCGTCAATGAGACGTGGCCTGACGAAACGACTCCCAATCCCCGGGGACTTGCGCGCAAGACTTGGACTAGGGATTCAATGAGCCTTTCCTGTCAGCTCCTGGAGGTTCGATCATAGCAGTCTATGGTTTATTGGGAGGCTCAAGGGGAACTTGCAAATTTCCCACAAAAGCAAAGACAAGGGGCTGACTAATTTCCCATGTCCTTTAGGGAACAAGTAATTTTGACCGAGGCTCATTTGACCTCCCCTCAGTCACAGAGTGTCTTGAAGGTCGGTTCCTGTTGCTGATTCACATCCGCAGGATTTTTACCGTAGTCCACCCGATTTTTGTTGTTCCCCTGTCGCACAAGTTGGTGCTCGCCATGCATGCGAGTTCAGCTCCTGTAGAACTGGGCCAAGGGGTCCAACTGCCTTTTGGTGAGTTGGAGGTTTCCCTCAATGCGGCATGTGTGTTTTTTGAAGTGCGGGAGACCCCCAACAACCGGGTCCTCCAGAAAGCAAAATGATCAAGCCCAACAAGTCGGGTCTGTCCCTTGATGCACCAAAAACGGGTCGTTGGTTTTTGTTGGCAGCCGTGGGGTCTTTGCCCCATGCTGGGTTGTGGGGTTCCGATTTTTGTTGGGAGGTTCCAGGAATGAATCTTGGCTGGGCATGTTCTTTGGGCTTATTTTCAGGTCTCCTTACAGGAATCTTGCAAAAAGCCGTGGGAAGATGTCTCCAAGTCTCAGTCTTGGAAACGCGATTTGTCAACACGGTCCAACTTTGTGGTTGAATCCAAGTAGGTATTTGAGGCCAAACCACAGAGACATCACTGGCGTTTGAAGACCAGGTCGTGACTCGTCTGGAAGTGTTTGATTCATGAATCCAACATCAAAGGGTCTGAGATTCATCGAAGCCAACAGGAAACCGCATCAATTTTCGGGCGAATTCAGCCCGGACATTTCTTGGAAACAAGAGTTCGGGATGATTCCCCTCACTGAGCAAGTTTCGCACTCCCCCCATTTTTTCTCAGCTCGTGGAACATCACCTTGCAACTTTTGAGGGAAGCCTCGTGCTGTGTGGGAAGTGGAGTTAGAGACATGTGAGAACGGGTCTGGTTTGCAGATTCCGCATCGGGCGTCACACTCAGATTGTGGCCTTTAAAGCCACGTGGGTGTTCCCAAAATAGGAGTGCCCCAAAATGGTCGGTTTCCTTTGGTTCCCTCCAATGCCAGCCAGAATGCGGGTCCAGCATGAGTCAATGGGTTTTGGGCTGCTCAAACCTGCAGGCCACCATGTTATCATCCCCCCCAACCCCCCTCCCCCTCCCCCAACTTGCCAACCCCCCCCAAACCCCCGCCCTCCCGGCCCTACCCGCCGGCCAGGTGGGGCTTCTTTGCGGTCTACGACGGGCACGGGGGCGCCGCGGCGGCGGAGCACTGCGAGGCGGAGCTGCAGCGCGTCTTGGCGCAGGAGCTGCGCCTGGAGAAGAGCCACCGCCCCGCCTCCCCGCTCCGCGACGAGGCGCGAGCGGGGAGGGCGGTGCGTTCGTCGGACTCAGGGTCAGCGGGGTTTGGGGTTCTTCGGTCGGTCGGCGGGGTCGCCCGGGCGGTTCCATGTGAAAGACACGGGGGGAGAAAAACATGGGGGGTGCATGAACAGGGCCGATGAAGGTGGGATGACCATCGGTTGGAAACAGACGCAAAAGATGAGATAGGTCATGGGAAAAGCTACACATATCGATCAACCCCCACAGGGAAAACCGGGTGTGTCCCCCTCCAAACCTTGCAAAGGGTACCAAGTCAAAGGTGCCGAGTTGAAGACAATTAGGTTTGTGTTTTCTTGAGTTGGTGCTGGGGGAAAACACAAGAAGGACAATATTTTGGAGTGCTCCCCCATTCTGAGAACCCTTAAAGTTGGGTGACGCATGGCACAATTCTCAGTTCACCTGTTTGGGGTAGCCATGGGAAGGTGTTCCCTCATGGTGTGAGGCTCTGTCCCCTTAACCGAAGCCACTTGTGGGCCCTATTGTGACACCCGAAATAGTGGTCGAGATCAGCAATTCAAAAAACCACAAAAAATACACGGGGGGGGGGGGGTGGGTTAGGGCCAGTCTGTCTTTTTTGGGTTTGTCAAGGTTTTTCCACCGTGCCGGTGAAACAGCTCCATTTTGCGGCTTTTGGGACGTTTTTTTAACTTGGGGTTTGGAATGTGATCGAGTCACCAAAAGAGATGGGTCACGATGGGATTCGAGTGTGTTTGTCTTGAGGGGACCCCCCCAAATAAAGTTGTTTTCCTGTTGGTTTCCCAGAAAAGCCACAAAAGTGGGTATCCTCAGATCAGACGACAAAAACACCTGGGGACGGGGGCGAATGGGATACAGGCGGTCGCGGAGGCCTTGACGAGGACTTTCCAGAAGGCAGGGAGAGAGTGGAGCCGGAGGCCCCTGCCACGTCGCACCGTTCGGAAACCCGTCTGATACGATTTCCCCAAAGTAAGTACCAAATTAAATACCAGCAAACGTCATGGTTTCAACCATGGTTTGACAGTGGTGCGAAACGGATTTCGCAACCATCCACAGTATTGCAAGGGGAGTAAGGGAACTCCCCAATTTACTGTAATTTCCCCTGGTCTTGTGAGTGGGTGTGGTTGGTTTACTTGCATTCTGTTGGGCATCCGATGCTCTGAACCATGATTCAGCCAACGAAACAGGAACTTCGGAAGATTCCCACCTGAAGAGGCGGTCTCAAATACTTTGCAGCACCTTTTGGTCGTCAAACTTTACTGACTGTCCTTTTGGTAAGGTGATGTGATTGTTGACGAGTATTCCCTTTGCCACTTGAGGGCTTTGTGAATATGGCCATGAAGGTTCATCTTTTCGGAAACCCACCCAAACGGACAGAGGGGAAAGCAAACCAGGTGGATCCTTATTTTGGCCCTTAGATATTTTAGACGAACCAAAAGGCGGAGAACTCTTGCCACAGACTTCATTCGGATCCTTAGGTCCAGACAGCACTCGTTGGCAAGGGGCAATCCACAGGCATGTGATCAAACAGATGGGTCTGTGTGAAAGTTGGGAGGCTCCCCCCCGAAACTGGCAACTTTCTCTTTTGACGTCCAGACAGAAAAAAGACGACTTTGCACAACTCCTCCAAAAGTGGGCATTCCCCTTGGATGCCCAGAAAGAGAGCGAGAGAGAGAGTCCCAACATGAGGGCGCTCCCTTTTGATGCCCCAGAAAAGAAAGGAGAAACAACCACAACACCCACCCTTTCAGTCCCAAGAGCTTCCGTTTTCCGATTTTCCGGGTCCACTCAAAGCGCCGGCTGACTCTGAAACTTGTCGCAAAGAGCGTCGCAGAGAGGCGGACGAGCAGCTGCGGCAGGTGGGCGCCTGGCGCTTCGGCTGCACCGCCACGGTGGCCTTGGTGCGGCGCCAGCCCGCCACAGTGCGCATCCACGCGCCTCGGTTGGAGCCGTCGCGGCACGGGGAGCCGCCAGTTGGAGCCGCCCGGTGAACCCGCGGCCCACAACCCAAAAGGGATACGTACCCCTTATAAAGCGGGTTGGAAACCAGGGAAGCCAAGAGGTACGAACAAGGGGTATGTACTTCCACCCTTTGAGCTTGGGCGCGTTTGGTTCCCATGAGCCGCCCAAAAATGGTGGGCTTTCCTCTTGGTTTCCCTTTCTACCCCTTAAAAGGGGTAGCAGAAAGAGACACACCCACGTATGGCCATGAATTTTCAGAGTTGGAGCCACCTCAGAAGTGGTTGGTGGGCATGAATCCCCTGCCAAATGGTGAAAGGTCACACTCATATTTGAGTCGTCCAACAGGTCGCCTTGGCCGATTTGAAGTGAATTTTCCTTTGGAGGGAGCCTTGAGGCGGCGGCGTGCTCCGGGTTTGAGTGATGGACAGTCGTTGTATTGCCACCCAAATGCTTGCGCCAATGGTTGCGCCTCCCCAAATGGGCTCCTCTATGTCAACCACCTCAATTCCTGGAATTCCATGAATTATTCCAGGTTTCCAGGGGTTTGATTCTAGACTTCCTGGAATGATTCCAGGAGTTCCGGGGGATTGTCAAATAGTAAATGCTACGACAGCAAGGGGCGTAGACAGGTAAAGGACTCCTTTTTCTGTGGGCTTAGGCAACCTGATGCCGATTGAAAGGCAAAGCATCAACTGGGTTTGTCCCAACTGAAATGGAGATCCGAAGCTTCGCATGGTCAGACACGTTTCTCAGGGGAGGTCAAGTTTGGATCAATATGAATAGGGGGGATTTGGGGTTGGGGATGGGGAGCTGAACGATTTGCGTGGACTGCAAAACGCTCGTACTGACAGCTTGAGAGGATCAAGTGATTGTTTGCCTGATGAAACGGGGGAAGAAGGCTATACGACTGATGGCATGATTCCTGTCACGGATGATATCTCCGCGATCAATCGCGGTAGCCTGCATGAAGTGCATCTCATCCAGCAAGGGCCATGGCTTTTGGTTGCTTTGCATCGAGCCATTTGACTCAAGCTGCGGTTTGACTCGCCTTTAGCCTTTGGCCATGTGTTAGACCCATGGAGTCCCCATGGGCTGCCAGCAGCTCTGAGAGAGAGCCGAACGCCGATCGGCTTCAGCTCAATGTGCGGGGCCTGGAGAACGAGCACGGGGCCAACCACTGCTTCCTTGGTGCATTTTGCTTGGAGGTTAGGACTTTAACTTTTTGGTAACTAATGGGTTTTCCACGAAACCACTAAATGTTATTCACTTTTAGCAGGGGAGCAGAAAGCAACCGAGGTTTCCTGAACGTGGTGATCCAAGCCTTTTGGAACCTGCGGTCCTTTAGGAGACGACTGCTGGATGCAGAGGCAGATGATCATTCGCATGCTCGCGACTCAGGTGGGCGTTTCACAAAAAACAACAACGACAAGGACCCCAACAGAATGAACCGGCAACCAGCTATTTTCCGAGCTTCTTCTTTTGGGAGACAAGGCCAAACAGTATGGTTGGCGCCAGCATGGCAACGAACTACCCCTAGGCTGCTGCTACTGTGCCCTGAAGTCTCTCTTCCAGGAGCAGTTGGGTTCCCGTCCGTTTCCGTGTGGCTTCCGGAAGCCAAGGCCTCCGGAAGCCGAAGCGCTTTGCAAGCGAAGCAGGTGGCAGGAAACAGGTGGTCCCCACCAAAGAGCCAAACTGGTGGTTGGCCCAACCGAACAATGGTTGCATGTCAGAAACCGGTGGTTGGCCGATTCAATGGAGCAATGGATGCAAAGGTCTTGTATTGCCCCAAAGCCTAGGTCCTCGACCCTGACCCTTTTCAGCTTTAGTTAGAAATGGCCGGCTCCTTTTTCAGGCTGAACGCCTCCTTCTAAGGCTCCAAAGCCTCTTAAGGTTAAGCCGGTTGTCTTCAGCCCAAGGAGTATGCCGTGTCTACAAACTCCACGGACACGCTCCCCCCGGACTGCCTCCGCGAGGCGCTGAGCGGCGTCTATGACGAACGCCGCTTCAAGCTCGGGGACATGGAGGACGTCATTGTGTTGGGCTTTGGGGTTGTGTGGTTTTGGGGGTTTTGTGGGTTTTGGGGTTTTGGGGTTGGTCTTCGAGCCGTGATTCCCTTTTCAAGTTGATAGCAAGTAGATAAAACCCATTCCTTGCTGGTGCGATAGGCAGGGAGTGACCTTCCGGGTGTTGGGAATGAACAAGTCGAGGTTCCCTGAATTAAAGGAAGCCACAAGAGATTGGTTGCAGGCGTCATTCTCTCATTCCATGCGGAGCAACAGCAAGAATTCCAGAAGTTCCCTCATTTGAGCTCGTGTCTCCTCGCTGTTTTGGAGAGCACTCTTTGTTCAGTTTGGCTTGAACGGGGGTTCAAAGAGAAATAACATTCTTATTTGGTGGGGGGTGGGGGGTGGGTCTAGTTGGACACAAACCCTCATGGCAAACAGACAACGAACTCCTTTCAAAAAAAAGCTCAGTGAAGGGCTGATTTTCAAGCATTCGTGTCAAGCCTGGTTCGTTTCCAGGGAAGCAAAAGGAAGACAGACTCAAAAAAGGGTCCCCTTTGACAAAATGTTGACCCCGGATGAACAACCCCCTGTTTCTGGGCCATGGGGTCTTCCCAATTCCGGGCCCATATTGCTCAACGGCCTGTTTCATCCTTCTTATCTCCGGAGGACTCTAGCCCTATTGGGCTGGATCTTTAGGCTTCAACCTTTTCGGATTCCCTCCATTTTCCCCTTTTCACCGGCAGAAAGCCGAGCTTTCGGCTGGGGGATCAGCCCCCGGAGGATGCCACGGAGACCATCGAGACGATCCTGGGCATCCTGCACGCCAGCAACCTCACGGAGGCCGAGAATCTCGGCGCGTCGCCCATCTCCCACCACATCGTGGAGCAGGCGACACCCGGAAGCATGTCGGGCACCGACCAAAGCCCATGGCAGTGGCCAAAAAGCAGCTTGCTTTTGGCCACATTGCGGGAGTTGTTCTTTTTTTATTATTATCTTCTTCTGAGTCGCTTAAGGGATGCGCCTTGGCCATGTCGAGTCCACACGTTTTTTTACCAGCTTTGGAGGATCTTGTGAGTGTGACAACCAAAAAAGTCGCTTTACATCTCAACCCTGCAGGCAGGCGATGTGGGGTGCCACCCCTTGTGCCTGGCACATGAAGTCTTTGGCTTGGAGTACGTGGATGTGCTGCGGTGCACCTTCTGCGGTGCCAATGGGGAGCCCTCCGTGTCGAGCTCCTACTTGTACACAGCCTATGTCTCGGAGCTTCTTCAAAGCCCGCAGCCGAAGCTGGGACGTCTCAAGAAAGTGTTGTTTCTTTCTTAAAACTTAAAACGAGAGTATATATTTTCGGGTACGTTTGTTTTGGGGGGGTTTTATAAGAGTATTCTTTTGGGGTAGACGAACAAAATATAAACATGGCTGACAGAATCAGAACGTATTATTCTTAAGGAGCATAACATATGCTTGCTTTTTGTGTGAGGAAGAATCTTCATGAGATGCTCAAGGAGCTCTGCCAGCAGAGCCTTCCTACCAGGAAGTGCTTGGAGTGCAACTCCCGGAAGACCGTGGTCTCAGAGCGGTGGCTCACCAGAAGCCCCTGCACCTTCATCTTGTCCCTGGTCTGGCCCTCCTCCACCCCAGGCAAGGACGCCATTTGGGTGGTGCTGTCCATGATCCAGCCGCAGCTTCGCATGGACCAGATCTTTCACACAGAGACCTCTGCAAGCTCCAAGACGGATGGGGTCTACAGCTTCCACGGGATGATCTGCTACTGCGGCATGCACTACGTGGCTTTGTTCTGGTGCCCCGGCAGGAGGCGCTGGGTCTTTCTGGATGACACCTGCGTCCAGGAGAAGGAGGACTGGACCTCGGCCACCCGGTTTCTGATGTCCGGGCACTACCTCCCCACGCTAATCTTCTACGAGAGCTCGGAGGAAGCGGCCCTGGCCGAGTCCTTGGAGGAGCTCAAGCGACAGGTGAATGGGCTTGAAGAACAGTCTTCCTGCGCAGCCATGTGAGAGGCAGAGATTAGCTGAATCGCTGGAGCCAGCCTTTGCAAAGCTTGAGGGCTGGCTAGCTGGGCAGATCAATACACTGAGTACACTGCCCGCCGAGTTGAGAGAAAAGCCTCTCCCGCGTGTAACTTGGACCTTGTCTTGCATGGGGCCGTTTCTTCGGTGCGACCCAGGTGGCAAACGTGGGAGACTCACGGGCCCTCTCAGTGGATGGATCTGGAGGCTCGCGTCAGCCTCTGAGCTCGGGCTGGAGGAGCAGTTCTTTCCTTTGCTGGAGGGAGTCAGGAGACTGTGGAATGAAGTTTGCTCTTTGCTCTTCCAACTTGTGAGCCATTGACCCTGTCAAGTTGCAAGAGGTGGATTGAAAGAAGTCGATCTCCCAGGAAGCGTTTCGTCTGCGTGGCACATCTCGCCTGGTGTC